ATTGAAAAAACGCACCCTACTGGATGTAGCCTATTGTGTGAACATGGCGCTAATGTGTATTTATGTGTGTGTTTGTGTGTTTGTGTGTGTGTGTGTGTGTGTGTGTGTGTGTAGGCTCCCTCCTCAGAAGATGCTCTCACCCCCTCCTCAGGTATAACCCCGTCTGCCTCCGGTGGTTCCTCTCGTCCCTTCATCCCCGTCACTGATGACCCCGGAGCCGCTAGCATCATCGCTGAAACCATGACTAAGACCAAAGAGGTGAGTTTGACTGACTGAGCATGAGTGAATTCATAAAGTGGTTAGAATGAGTCCTAAAACCCAGAAATGTGTCAGCATCTCAGCACTTCACTAAATGAGAGGACTAAACGTCATGTGACCGTGCTGTAGCAAGCCAGGGAGATGCTACCTACAAAAATGTGTAATTTCTGCCCCAGTCCTTTAACCCAAACACGTTGTCCTGCTTTATGTTCCCTTCAGGACTCGGAGAGCCATAGTAAGGTTGTGGGTCCGGAGCCTCAGTACCTGGATGAGTTCACCAGTCTGCTCGTTCCCGATGATACCCGTGTGATGGTGGACCTGCTGAAGCTGGCGGTGTCCTGCCGCTCCGGAGAGAAAGGGAAGGAGGTGCTGTCCGCCGTGCTGTCAGGCATGGGAACAGCTTACCCTCAGGTGATTTACTTTACTTTTACAATATCACGTTACCGGTAAAACCCATTTTTTTACTTTGCTTGTAAGATGTACTCTCTCTCTCCTGTCAGTAGCTTTATTAAGGTGCATACATGTTGACTGCTTGTGAAGATTTCAACATTTGGGATAGACATTGCTGTTGCAAAACCGAAGTGTAGCCGCATTTCAAACATCGTAGTAGTAGTATTGCAGAGAACGACCAATATGAATGCATTATGAAACCAGCAAAATAGTTTGAAGCTCCATTATCACATTTTGAAGTAATTTTGGGGACAAAATATTATCATTGCAATTTGAGATATAAAGGATTCATTTCCATGTGAGCATTTTAAAAGTCAATAATGAACATAAAAAGTCAATATTAAAGTCGATCTAAAGTAATTTAAAATTATTTGTTCAGCCCTAGTTTATACTATACCATAGAAGGGAAAAGATTATTATATATATATTATTAATATGGCATAATTTGTTTTATGGGAAATGTTGTGAATTATATTGAATGGTTATTTGGGTGCCTCTTTATCTCCCTAGCCTTGTGATTGGTCGGATGTTGGTAACATTTGTTTAATCTCTGTCTCTCTGGTGTTGCAGGTGGCGGACATGCTGCTGGAGTTGTGTGTCACAGAGTTGGAGGACGTGGCGACGGACTCTCAGAGCGGCCGTCTGTCCTCTCAGCCCGTCGTGGTGGAGAGCATCCACCCGTACACCGACGACACCTCCACCAGCGGCACCGTGAAGATCCCAGGTACAAACAGAGAAGATACAGAAACAGAGGGGATTATGGGTAATGCTGCAACGATCTGTTTGGTGTTTGGAGCCAAACACTTCAGAGACATGTTCTGTATATATCTGAGACCTATAATATATTGATGAAAAACACTTTAAATTGCCGTATCATCTTTACTGTATCTCTTATTTTGTTCTGTAGGTGCCGAGGGTCTGAGGATAGAGTTCGACCGCCAATGTTCGACGGAGCGACGCCACGACCCGCTGACCATCATGGACGGAGCCAACAGGATCGTATCCGTCCGATCAGGTGATGAGAGGAGGACCGTAAATCTGAGTAACCATTAAGTGTGTGTCCATGAATGAAGTCTGACCGTGTGTGTGCTTCAGGGCGGGAGTGGTCCGACTGGTCCAGTGAGTTGAGGATCCCGGGGGATGAACTCAAATGGAAGTTCACCAGCGATGGCTCAGTTAACGGATGGGGATGGCGCTTCACTGTGTATCCCATCATGCCTGCTGCTGGTGAGCCACTTCATACGACTGAATGAATCTGTGACCAGATCAGTGTTTCCATTAGGAAAATGTGTGACATTAATCCGTTTCCCTCCCCAGGTCCCAAAGACCTCCTCTCAGACCGCTGCATCCTGTCCTGCCCCTCCATGGATCTGGTCACATGTCTGCTGGACTTCAGGCTCAACTTCGCCTCCAACCGGAGCATCGTGCCGCGCCTCGCCGCCTCCCTGGCTGCCTGCGCTCAGCTCAGTGCACTAGGTACGGTCCTTGTGGCCATAATCATCTCCTAAAGGTTTATTTATGTGACTTTTCCGAGGCAAGGCAAGTGTATTTATATAGCACCTTTCAACACAAGGCAATTCAAAGTGCTTTCAAAAAAGGAAAGACATTAAGAGCATTAAGAAACATATTACATTTAAAAACACTCATTTAAAATCAAAGATAATAAAATATGACTAAATGTAACAAAGGTACATGAATAACCTTAGACTTTTAGGGATATTTCTAAGGTAGAAAAAAAGGTAAAAGACAAGTCAGATGTAAGGAGTAGGGTTCGGGTTAGAGGTGTAGAGATTTAATGGCGTTTCGGAATTCATGATGTATTTAATTGAATGTATTTGCAGCTGCCGGCCACAGGATGTGGGCTCTGCAGAGACTGAGGAAGCTTCTGACCACAGAGTACGGTCAGTCCATCAACATCAACCGGCTGCTGGGATACAGCGAGGGCGAGGCGCGCTCTATGGTGAGATCCACAGGAGAAAAGATTCTTGTTTCAAATATTTGTATTGAGAAGAAGCATACAAGTGTAAGCAAACGTACAGACTTCTTTGGGGTGGAAATCATGCTTCCCTTTTTCAACATAGAAGACAAACAGAACAGCCAACAAGAAATAATAAAGAAAACACATAGCATGACAGGATTACCATACTTAATGACATACATAGTCATTGTGGGAAAGAACAAACTAAATAGTATATATAATACGAATAAATAAATAAACTTAAAGGGTGAGGAGAACGGTTTCTTAATGAAAGGCTTTACTGATATATTTATTGGATTTATACCATGTTTGGCCAACAATTTAATCTAAGGAGCCTGATACAATATCTGATCATATAATCTATTTTGGTGTGAAGATATTCCTGTAATAATAGTGTTATTAAACATTGTAAATAACTATACAATACAGTACTATGGAAGCTCATGGTTTAAATAAGTAATTTATCTGATTAACTATTTTCTTTCAGAGTTTCACAGGCAGTGCGCTGGCCGCCTTAGTGAAGGGGCTTCCAGAGGCTCTGCAAAGGCAGTACGAGTACGAGGACCCCATCGTCAGGGGAGGAAAGCAGCTGCTTCACAGTCCATTTTTCAAGGTACGTTCATAATTATTATTACCTTATACCACCATGGGTTAATAGCAGTGTAACGTAGGCCCGTATTTACTGGACTTTGAGCGGAAAAAGCCTTTTGAAGTTCGACACATTTAAAGTCATATTGTCCGTTGGAAATAATTAAAATGTTACGAGCCGGACCGACCTACATATATTCTGGTTTCTTTCAACATGTTTTATTTTATCTAACAATATTAAGGGCTGAAAGAAATAATCTGTGTCTACATGACTTAATGATGTAATTTCTCATCTTCATATCAATTCGGATTCTGAAATATTCCTGGAGACATTGACCAAAACCAATTATGTGGAATGGACAAATGTGCATTCGTTTTTTTGTAGATCATAAAGGAGGTTTTTGTGTTATTTATCCAGGTGTTGGTTGCTCTTGCCTGCGACCTGGAGCTGGACACGTTGCCCTGCTGCGCTGAGACCCATAAGTGGGCCTGGTTCCGCCGGTACTGCACCGCCTCCAGAGTGGCTGTGGCTCTGGACAAGAGGACGTCTCAGCCCAGAGCCTTCCTGGATGAAGTGAGTCTTCACCAGAATCACACTACAGTTACTAACATTGCGCAAACAAATGACTAGATTCTCCCTTTGACAGACTACAGGTTTATATTTGCATGACTTGTCCACATGCAACTGTCACAGGGGTTGTGCTGCAGTACAGAGACACGGCGGAGTCATCAACAGTGTTATGTGACAATGGACACTGAACTAAAGAGAAAGTTTGAAAGTTTAAAATGTGTGTCTACCACTGCTCACATCTTCCTTATTGCAATAGTAATTGTTTTATGTGTGCACATGTAGGCCTAAGTTTTAAGTTTTGGCTATAGATGAGAGTAACACCTACGTCACTTCCGGGCGAAATTGTTTGGCCCCGCCCACTCTTGGGGGAAAACAACGCTGTCATTTAAATGGCGGTCAATACACATTCTGAAGTTTTTGCCAATCCGATCAGAAATGAAAGAAAACCGTGGATTTTCTGATCTTCAAAGAGCCCGATTACGATGGCCAGACAGGCAAACAATTACATTACATCTTTGGAAATCAACGATCGGGCTCGATATATGGTTAAATTAAAATCAGTAGACGAGCTGTTACTCTCATGAGCGCGGCGGAAAATAATTGTTTTATCATGCCAAAAAGCTGCTGTGTCGTTTATTGCTCCTCAAACATTAAAACAAATCCAGAGTTCAGTGTTTCTGTACTTCCTCTAAGAACAAAGGACAGTAACAGAAGAGCTCTGTGGCTTCAGGCTCGATCGCCGTTCAAATGACAGCGTTGTTTCGCCCAAAAGTGGGCGGGGCCATAAAGTGACGTAGGTGTTACTCTCATCTATGGACATCGATCGCCTACCGCTCGTCAATTTCAAAGATTGAATGTAATTGTTT